ATCTGCAAGCTGTTTACACCCCGTATATTACTATCATGGGTTAATAATGACAAAATCAGAGGTTAATAATGACAAGTTTTGTCATAATTATTAATTGTTGATTACAATATTGTCAAATTAACAAAATTGTTAATGACAATATTTGTCATTATTAACCCCTGCTATAATGTAGCACTGGCTACTAGAGCTAAAGGCTTATGGTAGAGTTATTAAAATTAATAAATGACTTAATTATAGTTGCATTTATTTTTCAATTCTCAATTACAGTTAAATTTAGACTATCTGACCTAAATAGGATCTATAGATGTAGGATAACCAGAAGTATTAGATAATGTGGAAATAGGGGTGGGGTGAAACAATTTACAGATTAGCATTAGCATTAGCATTAGCATATAGCATAGCATAGCATAGCATTAACATTAGCATTAGCAGATTAGCATTTAAGTATATGAAATATCATGAATGTGATAACAGCAGGTCTGTGGCAGTATGTGATGCAGTTAAAAAACCAGCATAGGATCCGGCAAAATAGTATGACGGTGCATGCAGTAAAACACTGTACAATACCCATATAGTAATAATAATATAATAATATATAAAGTTTATGCTTTATATATTATTATTACTATTGTAGTGGCCCTAGGGGTAGCCGACTACGGTATGACAGGCGTTATATAGTTAACGCGTGTTTAGTTGTGTGGATTCATTGTTCGCTCCTGCCGTTGGCAGGACGGTGATGCAGTAGCACATAACAGGTTGTCCAGAGCCTCGAGTCTCTCTCGATACTTCTGCTCCAGTGCAACTGCAAGCTGTTTAAACCCCGTATATTACTATCATGGGTTAATAATGACAAAATCATGGGTTAATAATGACAATTTTTGTCATAATTATTAATTGTTGATGACAATATTATCAAATTAACAAAATTTTTAATGACAATATTTGTCATTATTAACCCCTGCTATAATATAGCACTGGCTACTAGAGCTAAAGGCTTAGGGTAGAGTTATTAAAATTAATAAATGCATGACTTAATTACATAGTTGCATTTATTTTTCATTTCTCAATTACAGCTAAATTTAGACTATCTGACCTAAAAGGAATCTATAGATGCAGTAATAACCAAAAGTATTCGATAATGTAGAAATAGGAGTGGGGTGAAACAAATTACAGATTAAATTAACGCTGTGGCTATATGCCCGGCAGCCGGCACCCTAACCCGAACCCTAACCGTACTGTTTACTTGAGAAATCACCGAAAATTAAAAACTGCCGGGCATTTAGGAAATCGATCGAAGACCGTGCCCGGCAGCCGTCGGATATTTTCTAAGTGTCGATTGCGAGTTCGTTCGCTCAGTGATCCGAAGCTAGGAGAATTTGGCTAGTTCGAATATACAGCTCTAACGAAAATCGCTTGACATTTATAAACAAATGTAGAATACTTTTGATCACGTAGTACACTGTTTACTTGAGAAATCACCGAAAATTAAAAACTGCCGGGTATTTAGGGAATCGAAGGCCGTGCCCGGCAGCCGTCGGATATTTTCTAAGTGTCGATTGCGAGTTCGTTTGCTCAGTGATCCGAAGCTAGGAGAATTTGGCTAGTTCGAATATACAGCTCTAACGAAAATCGCTTGACATTTCTAAACAAATGTAGAATATTTTGGATCACGTAGTACACTGTTTACTTGAGAAATCACCGAAAATTGAAAACCGCCGGGCATTTAGGAAATCGAAGACCGTGCCCGGCTGGTGAAATTTTTTTTCCCACTTGAGTTCCGGACCCACCATAGATAGTGTTTTGTAATATATGGTTCGTATATATATGGTTGGATTATAGTTAGTGTTAGGGTTCGGTTCCGGTTATGGTTAGCGTTAGTGTTAGGGGGTATACATTTTACATTGTTGCTTCGAGGAAGTCGAGTGAATGGAGTGCGCTGATTGGCTGTGGTCCGGAACTCAAGTGGGAAATTTTTTTTCATTTAATTCACTTAAAAACCAGCATAGGATCCGGCAAAAATAGTATGAAGGTGCATGCAGTAAAACACTGTACAATACCAATATAGTAATAATAATAATATAATAATATATAAAGTTTATACTTTATATATTATTATTACTATTGTAGTGGCCCTTGGTGTAGCCGACTACGGTATGACAGGTGTTAGTTATATAGTTATATAGTTAACGCGTTATATAGTTAACGCGCTATATAGTTAACGCGTGTTTAGTTGTGTGGATTCATTGTTCGCTCCTGCCGTGAGGCCGAACGGTGATGCAGTAGCACATAACAGGTTGTACCAGTGAAACAGAACACAGTTATATTCGGTTAACTGTACGGTTATAGTTTTATTATTTCTTACTAGCTTACAAATAATTTCCCTGCATTCGTATATGCCGCGGATCTGTATTTATCTCGTATATGTCGCTTACGCTACTTAGCTTGCGTTATAAGTTATCTGGTTCGCCCTTATTGCGATTATCCGTGCAGCGTGAAGCGCTGTTACGTTGTTTAACTAACCACTAGACTAATATTAAAGAATTAACGCGTCACCGGCTTCGTCTTCCCCGCTCCCCGTCTTCCTTTCTTCGCGTAGACCTAGGTAGCCTCCAAGGGTGTCTCCCTCGTAGTCGCTCCTGGCTCTACCGACCTGAAATCCCGTGCTTCTTTCCTTCCCGTTTTATTTCCTGTACCCGTAGTTCTACCTTCCTGAAAACCCGTGCTCCTATTCCCTCTTTTATCTCCCCGGGACCTAATATGCTTTCTTCTTCTCCTTCTTTCTCTTCTTCTTCTTCCTACCTAAACCTAACCTGAAAAATAACACTCTTGTGCTGCGGTTCGGAGCGTCTTATATACCTAGCTGGCAACGCCCCCCTACGTGTCGTTGTTATAAGTACGCGTCATCAAAACATTATGCTCCCCACGCAGATTCCGTGGCTGGTACGATGGTCTCCCCTGCTGATGCAACTCGTTTCTAAGTAAATATTCCTTTCTTCGACAACTTAGACTATTCATTCTATTCAAATCTCCTCGTACATTATGCAGATTAATAGTACCTAAACGCGTTGATTATCATACTCTATATATTGCGTTTTCGTTTACATTCCTTGTTTTCCCTAGACCCGCTCCGTATGTATGATCCAAGATGGCTGCGCCCACGTGTTGATCGTTATGGTTATATTTATGTGCTGTCTATATTTTATCCTGTCTTTAGTCAATATATGGTTATTCTATCTATACTGCGAGTTCAAATTATCCATCCTGATCGAGTCTACTGCTCATGTGAGTTACACTCAAGGGCGTAGCCAAGAATTTGGATTGGGGGGTCCTCGAGCGAGTAACGAGTAAGGGTGTCTGGTGGTCTAAAATATTTTTTTTTTAGTTAAATGTAAAAATAGTGCTTTCAAATCAATTAAGACGCTGTTTTGTTGACAATACTATTTCTTCTGCAGCTCTAAATAGAGAAAAAATAATAATTTTGGATTTTGATTTTGATTGGGAAGGGTCCTAGGGCCCCCAGGACCGCCCCCACCCTGGCTACGCGCTTGGTTACACCCCCGAAATCTCTACACTATCAATATTACAATATCATGGCGACACAGCACACTCAATAAACAGCACACTTAAAACATTTTTTCAGTTTTAGAGTAATAAATCACTGGAATAACCTGTCAGAAGAAGCAGTACAAGCTAAATCAATTAACTCGTTCAAACGCCATGTGGATGAATATGTAAGGATGGGGGTTTATACAAGACAGTAGTCTTCCTACCCTTCGATCCACTCCAAACCTACAGGTGAGGGGTGGAATCAGGTAAATCAGGTAAATCACTCGCAGCGGCGATCGATCGATCGATCGGCGGAGTGCGGGAGCGTTCGGCGTTAGTTTTTATGAAGGAAATTTGATATACAGTGACACAACAGTGGAACTGTAATTGAGAGGTAGGGCCTACGGTAGTATTTGTGAATGTGCGTTCATATTATTTTCAGTTTTTAGTTTATACTGACTCTGTCCCAAGTGCCTGTGTCAGTGTGTGACGAAACCTACCTGTTGAATGAGTACGGCTCCATCGAGAGTTGTTTCCTCATAATTCAGTGAGTCGTAATAATTCTGGAAAAGTTAAGTCACAACAAACTTATAATTCATGTACACATTACCTAGTAACAGAAAATACTCTTGTTCTCAGTAGTATTGTCTATTGATATGTCGATAATAACAAACACATACGTGTGTTTGTATTTTTAGCTCATCTTATAGAAGCTCATCTCTTAGCTCAGCTTGTAGAATCGCATGATTGTCCGTGTGTCCGTCCGTCCGGCCGTCCGTCCGTGCGTGCGTCAACAGTTGGGCACAAATCTTAACTGCTCGACGTACGGTCACGATATTCGGGACGTGGGGGGGGGGGTAATCCGAAAACGAGTTGGGATGTCGAAGTGGGGTCAAAGGTCAAAGTCAGAGGTGTAAAAGAAGGGGGAACATTCCGTCCTTAAGCCTTAAGGTATAGGTGAGGACATGCAGAATTGCGGCACAAATGTAAATGGCTCGACCTTAGGCTCCGTGATAGTCGGCGTGTATAGCACAATGGTAGGAAAAGCATCACTGTGGGTTGCCGGAAATTGGGTACGATTCACCAAGGTCGGACTTTACTTCCCGGGTCCGCACCAGGGCACTCATTTTTCGAGTTATCATCTGGTTCTATGGAGGACATAAGTCTGACGTGAGCGATTGAAAAAATCTCTCTTTGGTCAGTTCACTGCGGTGACGCTGCATTTTTATTGGTCGTGACTCTTTTTCTGGTAAGCAATTGGATCAAATGCTAATATTGTGATCCTCTTTATGCTAGACTGGTTATGCCTCATGCGAAGTAGTAGATACGGGTTCGGATAACTGCTCCTTTGACCCTCTCTATAGAGGAGGGTTAAATACATGGATTTGTGTACTGTTAGACGAAGAGTTTTTTGACTCGCCCGGGTTTTTTCGTCTATCCCGACCTCATCTTATACTCATTGCCTCGTTGTCATGTTATCGCATAAGCAGCAATGCGCACACGTGAAATTCAACAAACGTTAAATGTGGTTGACACCGTATGTTATCGCTCCTTGTATACCCCTCGTAACTAAATGTCATCTATGGCATCTGTAGCTGTCAGTGTGTTACATGTAACTTACTGCCACCCTCGCGCAGTAGTCCTACTTTGGTTCACACGCTCCATGGTGGTGGTACCATCCGTATCGCTTCACTTCGTCAGTGCCCACTCACTTTTCGCCTCCGCCGATCCTTAAGTTAGTTATGGCAGGTGGCCCGTTACCGTGCTCTCTCTTTTCAGTCCTGTAGCTTCTCCGTAGGTATTTAGAAATGACGTTGTATGTTGTGCTTACTGCTTCTCTTATTTTTGTCTGGCAATCCATGATGTTTTTGTGTCGGAGCTACTCTCTCGCCTATCAGACTACAGATGTGCGCTTCCATTTCTATTCTGATATACTTAAGTGCTGTACGACCGAATTTATAATCGTTTTTTACGTGCCCAATTTTCATTTGTGCGCAACTTTTCATAACGATCCAACGAAACATTCCTCTTTTAGAACGCGTTCCTGATACCATCCCTCGTGCCTTCCACTGTGTTCGGCCGTATGTGCACACATTCTGGGACTTTTTAATGCATTTTTTACATAGAATCCCAGCCACTCCACCACACCGAGCAGCTTTTTTTCCGCATTGTGTGTTGTCAGTAGAATCCGCTTTGTTTAGACTGAGCGCTGCCTCGCTCTGCGGCACTTCGTTGTTATGTATATGATGTGTCATGTATAGACTTTACATATTTCCACATCAGAGCACGTCGGCTGCTTGTCTAATTTAACGCGGATAATTGTCTATCTAGATTTAATGACCACACTGTGGCGAATTCTGAAATATTCTGACAGCATTGCTGATGTTTATAGGTATATGATCTCGGCCAAATTCAATACAGTTTTTTTTTTTTTTTTTTTTTTTTTGTTTTTCCTGGCGGGTGGTGGTCGGGTGGTTGTGTGGCTCGATCCGGCCTCGGGTGGCCCGCGAGTCCGGCATGGACGTGGCTACAGAACTGCCACTGGCGTCGGGGGTAGGAACAAACGTGCAACAATACGATTTGTATACCCACCTGGTGCATTTAATTCTTAGTAGCACGCACTAATGTAACAGTATATGGGAATAGAAGAGCGATAAATATCACGGATG